ACTAGTGTAGGTAGTAAACTGGGAAAATGTCTAGTGTAGGTAGTAAATGTGGGAAAATGTCTAGTGTAGGTAGTAAATGTGGGAAAATGTGTCTAGTGTAGGTAGTAAACGTGGGAAAATGTGACTAGTGTAGGTAATAAACTGGGAAAATGTGGCTAATGTAGGTAGTATTTTTTGATGGTATAGACTTGATGAGCCGAATGGCCTTTTCTGTACTGTATGATTCTATGATATGAACATGTGAATTTATAGCAAAAACAGCCCATTTGGCTCAAGCCTACTGCACCATTCAACACAATTATGGCTGATCTATTTGTGTTTTGAATTCTACATTCCCATCCACCCCCAGTAATCTTTGATTCCTGTTGGCTAACGAGAATCTACCTAATTCCACCTTAAAGATATTCAATGACTCCGTCTCTACTGCCTTCTGGGGCAGACTCCCTCAAGTCACATAACCCTCTTGAGAGAAGCAAGATTCTCCTCAGGTCCAACTTAAAAGTGAGCCCTCTAATTTTAAAACTGTGCCATAGGAAGTGGTTGAGGCCAAAATATTGAAAGAAGGGGCAAAAACAGAAGCTGCTGGAAAAGCTCAGCAGGTCTGGCAGCATCTGTGAAGAAAAAAATCAGAGTTAACGTTTCGGGTCCAGTGGCCCTTTCCTCAGGAAAGAAATACCAGCTGACTAATATGAGCTCAAACTTGTGGAGAGGGCCGTGCGAAAGGATTTGATTCTTCAGAATTGCATTTAGAGAGAGATAGCAGGGAATATTCCAGTCTGTGACTGTTATGCATTGAAGATTTTGTATGGTTAGAACGCTTGGTGCCAGAAGTCAAGTTGCTGCATTTAACCAGCTGTAATACTCTGCCCAGTCATTTCGACTGGAGGAAAACCATGACTGGATGTGCTAGGAACTAGAAAGCTGGGCTTCCTCCTTTGCAGTAGCTTGGAACAGGAATTTAATGGGACTGAATGAATGGAGTATCATTATGTAGTAGCAAGGAAGTGCAGCATTGCCAAGGCTGCTGTTATTCCGATGAGACCTCAAACTGAGACACATTGGCCCTGTTCATGAAAAGATCCAGTGATGCTATTTCAAAGGAGGAGGGGTATTTTCTCTCTAGTGCCTGACAAACATTTAGTTCCCAACCACTATCGTTAGAGCTGACTACCTGGGTGTGACCGCACTGCGTTTTGGGGCAGGATTTCACAGGCAGTGGGATTTAGTGTTCTGTCACCAGAGAAGTCTCTAGGTAATTCCTCCTCCTTTGTCCCCGCACCCTACCCACCTCTGGTGGGCCATCCTGAAGCAGGTTAATGCCCAGAGGGGAGACAAGTGGTTCAGGGGCTGCTTCCTCCCCCTTCCATTCCCCAAGTTGGAGAGAACAGCCCGTTTCTGAGAGCTCGCCGCCATCTTGGAACGAGCCACAGCAGCCATTACTTGGGAGTCACTCCAAGAAGAGCCAGGAGATGGATGACAATAACACTGGGGCTTCTCATCGGGATAGGAATCCCTGGGGGGGCGGTTGTGGATGGTGGGTGGGGGTCGAAGGGGTGGGAACTGGCATACCCAGGTTGGAGTGGAGAGGGGGAGGGTGTAGTGCGAAGGGAATGGGGCAAGGAGGTGTGAGTGAAGTGAAAGGCCTCTGAAGGAGAAGGATAGAGGGCCCAGGAAGGAGTTAAGCCCCACCCTCGTCAAGACATTGACTTCCCAGCCAGAGGCCATAGCAGATTTAGTTGCCAGGTTTTCCACCGGACGCTACTCCCCTCCTCCTCCTAACCGGGGGAGCAGGGGGAGAGGGCTGATGAGGGCTGGCACAGTGGCTCAGTGGTTATCACTGCGCCAGGGACCCAGGTTCGATTCCAGCCTCAGGCGACTGTCTGTGTGGAGTTTGCACATTCTCCCCGTGTCTGCATGGGTTTCCTCCGGGTACTCCGGTTTCCTCCCACAGTCCAAAGATGTGCAGGATAGGTGGATTGGCCATGCTAAGTTGCCCATAGTGTTCAGGGAGGTGTAGATTAGGTGGGTTATAGGGGGATGGGTCTGGGTGGGATGCTCTGTGGGTCGGTGTGGACTTGTTGGGCTGAAGGGCCTATTTCCACACTGTAGGGATTCTATGAATCTATGAGGTGACACTTAAATTGGCTACCTAAGAGTCTCAGTTGGTGCAAGGCTAGGAGAGCCTCCCAGACCTACCCTGGAGGGCCCCTTCATTCAGCATCAGGCTACAAATGGGCAGCCAGACGGGGGGAAACTTTCTGGCCTGGAATTTTACAGCCTCTCCCATCTCACCTACAAGTGGGTCCAAAACAGTCCGCACTTTGCCGTGCACAAATTACTGTCACATTGACTGCAATTCAAATCACCCTCCATTGGTAGGATGCAGGGAAGCGCATTGGGATATGGAGTTGGAAAATATTCCAAATCATCCCTTCAATTCTTTCATTTGCTTTTACAAATGGAATTCTGTCTGATGTAATCAAGAAATGCTCCAGTATATTTCGATACAGATTCTAAAATTCTATTGGGAGGAGATCAAGGTGTTCAAAACCATGGAGGATCTGGTCAGATCAGACAGGGAGAAGAAGGCAGTCCCTTTGATGGAATGGTTGGGAAACATTGCACAGCAACTTAAGGCAGTGAGGCAACATGAGGAAAGATCTCTTCACACAGAGAGTGTTTGAGTGCCTCCCTGAGAGGGTGATTGAGGTATAATAACTCCACAGAGGCTGGTACCCCATTCACCAAGTCAATAAACTGTCCTTGACTACAGTACTGCCTGATACAGAGTCAGGCACCAGAGGTTTTTTAAAATGTATTCACAGGATGAGGGCAACACTGGTTAGGCCAGCATTTATTGCCCATCCCTAATTGCCCAGAGGGTAATTTAAGAGCCAGCCACATTGCTCTGGGTCTGGAGTCACATGTAAGCCAGACCAGGCAGTTTCCTTCCCTAAAGGACACTAGTGAACTGGATTTTTTTTTCCCCCCTGACAATTGACAATGGTTTCAGTTATCATGAAACCCTTAATTCCAGATTTTTTTCTATTGAATTCAAATTCCACCATCTGCCATAGCAGGATTTGAACCCAGGACCCCAGAACATCACCTGGGTCTCTGGATTAACAATCCAGCAATAATACCACTTGGCCATTGCCTGCCCAGTATCTCTGACACTCATCCTTTTTATATGTCAGTCAGGGCTCCCTGTTCAGTCAGTTGATCTGGTCGTATTCTATGACGTCCAGCTGGCTGACCTCCTTACAATCGCTACAGGAGGTAGACTTAGCCATGACTTTCAAAAGGAGGTTGGTTAATTATTTGAAGGGGAGCAGGGGAAGGTTATGGATCAGGACTAGCTGATATGATCTTGCAGAAAGGTAGCGCACACATTGTGTGCTGAATGGCTTTTTCCTGTTTTCCAACCATTTTATGATTCCATGTTGGAATAGTCAGCTCGATATTCTGAATTCTCAGCTGAGCCCAAGGCAGGGCATGTATTGTAACCAGTTTTCCTCTAATTAACATTTTCCAATAGAGGACTCTGAAAATGTACACCATAGTGTAATGGGATTGATTGTAATCTAATCTATTGCAATGTGTACAGTGGGACGTAGCAGAAATTGGTTTCATGCAATGGATACCGGCACAGCACAATGGGAGCTAATTTAATCTGAAAGAATTCAATCGAATGGGGGCTAATAGAAGCTGACTAGCTGTATTGAAGTTCAATGTAATGGGACATGGTTTTGTTTCTTTTGAATAGGGAGGACAAATTTAAGACTGATGTCAAGATTACTTGGTGCATTTTTATTTGATTAACTACAACGATCAATAAGAAATTACAGTTCGCTGTTTGGACAACTTGCTTGAAGCTCATCAATTCTGCAGGTCAAATTTGAAAGCTACACAGAGAAACTATTTCTTTACATAAGAGAATGCTCAGTAGCTAGAAGCAGGGGCCAAGAAAGGTGAATCAATCCAGGACATTGGACACTATTTTAAATAAAAAGCCATGGGCAGGGGTGCTGAGGATACTGCTGAGAAGGGTGATATTTAGAGGGACTTCCTATCCTGTAGAACCTGTTCCCAGATGTAGTCAGGGTGCAATTGGCAGCAACCCTCAGATTTTTCTCCCTGGACTTTTCGTGGTCTTTTCTTCAATAGAAAATGTTCCTGTGTCCCTCAGGTGTGATTTTGTTGCTGCTGGACAAATTGCGGAAAATGAAATGGGAGCAGATGTGGCGTTTGACTGCGGAGCGGGAACTGATGAACATGTTGTCCACTTCACTGGCTGATCAGGTATGCAAACGTGCTGCTAGGATATTCTCTCAGGACACTACAGTGAGCCCCTTTCACATTGTGGTAGTACAGAGAGACTGGGCTAGACAATCAATCCCCTCATCGGAACAATTAGGGAAAGAGAGTACTTTGATTTGCTGGTTTTGATCATTCTGCATCTTCCTATACCTTAGCTGAAATCTCAGAATTAATAAAAATGTTTGTTGAGCTCACCTCTTCCTTTACAGAGTTCTTCGATCTTCCCCTCTTTGGGCTATCAGTTGTTCACAATGCAGTGTAAATGCACACACCCCTCATTATACACGGAAACACTACCAGGAATCACATTCCCATGAAGTTGACCCAAGACTCACTATTTATTCCTCACCCAGTGACAGGTTCCACCCGATTGTAAGGTCCAGTTATAGTTTTGTGATCCACCATTGCATTGATTAGTACACAGTTGCAAACTTGGGATGTCATGTTGCGGCTATACAAGACATTGGTGAGGCCACTTTTGGAATGCTGCATTCAATTCTGGTCTCCCTGCTTCAGGAAAGATGTTGATAAACCTGAAAGGGTGCAGAAAAGATTTACGAGGATGTTGCCGGGGTCGGAGGGTTTGAGCTATAGGGAGAGGCTGAATAGACTGGGGCTATTTTCCCTGGAGCGTCAGAGGCTGAGGGGTGCCCTTATAGAGGTTTATAAAATCATGAGGGGCATGGAAGGGGTGAATAGTCAAGGTCTTTTCCCCAGGGTAGGGGAATCCAAAACTAGAGCGCATAGGTTTCAGGTGAGAGGGGAAAGATTTAAAGGGAACCTAAGGGGCAACTTTTTCACACAGAGGGTGGTGCGTGTGTGGAATGAGCTGCCAGAGGAGGTGGTGGAGGCTGGTACAATAAAAACATTAAAAGGCATCTGGATGGGTGTATGAATAGGAAGGGTTAGAGGGATATGGCCAAATGCTGGCAAATGGGACTAGATTAATTTAGGATACCTGGTCGGCATGGAATGTTGGACCGAAGGGTCTGTTTCTGTGTATACAGCTCTATGACATCCACGGAGGGATACAAGGAGACTCTGAGTTCACTCTAGTGGAGGATAGCTCTTGTTGGGCAATATGTGACCGTAACAATGGTGAGAACAAAATCACTTAGGAAAGTTTTCTGCCTCCTTTTAAGAGAAGGATGAGAAAAGCATTAATTAAAGCTGAGGCACTTTTTTTTTAAATTATCCAGTACAATTATGATGCATTTTTGAACTAGCTGTTTAAAGACTTGGCCTCACTTGTATCCATTATGTCCAAAAAAGATGAAGGTTGAAGCTAGGAACATACTGTTTAGCTGAATATTAAAAGCGTAGTGTAGTTATTGAGACATTGGAGGGCGTTTTCACTGAACTCTCAGCTGGGGAACTGGTGGAATGCTGAATCCACACTGATACGACGCTCCATTAAATACCTCGGATGGTAGCTCTCCTGTCTCAGAGTCACAAGTTTCTGAGTCCAAATTCTGCTCCAGGGATTAAGCATAAAAATCAGTACTAGCACTGCAATGCAGTACTGAGGGAGTGCTGCACTGTCAGAAGCGCCAGCTTTCTGCTGAGGTCTTAAACTGAAGGCCCATTTGCCTGGAGGCAAGAGGTCTCTTGGCACTATCTTAAAGAAGAACGGGGCAGTTCTTCCCAGTGCCCTGGCTAATATATATCCCTCCATCAGATTCACAAAACAGATAATGTGACTAACACATTGGCTGTCTGCGAGAGTTTGCTGCATACCAGTTGGCTGCCACTTTTCCTACATTACCAAAATAATTACACTCAAAAGCACTTCATTCATCCTGTACAAATGCAAATCTTTCATTTGTCTGCAACAAGGAGCAAAAGCAAACAAGATGCAAATTCAGCATCAATCTCGTCAGTTTCCTGCCAAAAAATGTCAGCTAGAATTGCACATCGTTCAATAATCTAACATCATTAAAGACGACTGGATAATATTCGGAAAGGAAAAAATAATGAGAAGGTTAACTGGGTCAATTGGCACAACCCCTCTAATTCTATAAAAGTTAGGCTGAGCTGAGATAGTGTAGTCTTTTGAACTCTGTATGAGAAACTACAGTAAATGCAACTTCATTTGAAGGTGAAGTACAGAGTGGAATCCTTCCCCAACCTAACTCCGTCAGGCTTGGAGAAAAAATAAACTGATGTTGTGCCATTCCACAGCAGAAGGAGATGACGGAAAAATCAGAGTTTATTCACACTCGGCCAGTTTAACAGGGAGAAGCCACAGTGGACGTTGGCTATATGGGGGCTCAGATTTATGATGGCGGTAAAGTGAGCAGTGCAGGATTTTGCTGTGTAGGACTGGAGGAGGACATGGCAGTTTTAAGTCTTTGCTTTTATTGAGAAGCTGTGCATTCGTCCTGAAAATAAACAAGGTCTCCAGGTTTACAAATCACAAGAAGCTAGTGCACAGGTACAAAATGCAATCAAAACGGCTAATGGAATATTAGAGTTTATCTCCGAAGTGAATAAGTAGTGGAGGCAGTTCCAGTTCAGTTGTGGAGTCCTAGTCAGAGAGATGCGGTATGATTTGCATAACTGTGAGATTATTCACTTCAGAAGCAAAAACAAGAAGGCAGATTACTACCTGAATGGCTGTAAATTGGGAGAGGGGAGTGTGCAGTGGGACCTGGGTGTCCTTGTGCTCCAATCGCTGAAGGTAAGCATGCAGGTGCTGCAGGCGGTAAAGAAGGCAAATGGTATGTTGGCCTTCATTGCGAGAGATTTTGAGTACAGGAGCAGGGATGTATTGTTGTAGTTGTACAGGGCCTTGGTGAGGCTGCACCTAGAATATTGTGTGCAGTTTTGGTCTCCTTTTCTGAAATGTTTGGAGGGATGTGGGCCAAAAGCAGACAGGTGGGATTAGTTTAATTTGGGATTATGGTTGGCATGGACTGTTTCCATGCTGTATGAGTCTACATGTGGCCCCAGGTTCGGTTTTGGAAATTATAATGTCCTTCTAGTCCTCCCTTTTCACACCACTTCACCCTCCACCTGCCACCATTGCAATTCATCCCCACACAAGTCTCATACGCCTCCATACTACTCAATAACCACTTATCCTGTATCCATATTGAGCAGACTGCAGGAGCCATGTGGAGATGAAAGAAGTAAACTTCTTACAGAATAATACACCTTTCATTCCTGCACAGTTGATGGTGAAAAAAATCCCTAATGTAAACAGTTTGAAGCTTCTAAATCTCCTTAAGTGGTTAATAACGATAAATTATATCCACTAAAACCAAACAAACCTACTGATGCCCACATCAAAGACAGTTAATCCTTTAATAGCCTCTTCAAACTACAAATCAAACAGTGAATTCTGAATCCCAGCTGAAATCATTGTCGCTTTTGCAATTTAGCCATGCATTCGCGATTACGTAGTAGCCCTTAGAAAATACTTCTAATGACCTTTGTGTAAAATATGTGGACTTATGCTAAGATCTTTTTTCTCTGTAAACTAAATCAGATGGGCTACTAATGAAAGCAGTCCAGTACAGAACTTTTCTTTAACTCTTACTGACAAATGAAGCCTGCGTTTTCTTTTTAATGTTTGAAGACTGGAGTGTTTAAAGAAAAGGTCAGATCATGTCACATAAACAGACCTGATCTGCCCTTAGGAGTGTTTAGGTCTCTGTTGCTACATGTTAAAAAGCTAGAAGGGAGTCTATTTGAATTCAACACTAAGTTTAAATGGCTCTGGGTTTCCCACCTGTGCGATCATGCCCCACCCACTTCAACCGCCAACAAAGTCTGCGAATTGTTGGAATAGAGGGCAGAACTTCCAGGTCCTCAGCGTCATCTTTAAAGAACATTGGAAGTCTTCGTGAAAATCCATTCTTCAAAGTTATTGAAATCTGCCCCATTCCCAGATTAAGAATAACTGATTTTACACAATGAGTTAAAAATTGTTATATATCCTAATGGCCTAAATCAAGTTACGAAACAACAGGAAATTTGTTAATTGACAACACTATCAGGGGAGGTGACAGCCTAGTGGTTTTATCACGAGACTATTAATCCAGAAATCCAGGTGATGTTCTGTGGACCCAGGCTCAAATCCCACCATGGCAGATGGTGGAATTTGAATAAAATAAAAATCTGGAATTAAGAATCTCAAAATGAAATCATTGTCGATTGTCAGGAAAAACCCATCTAGTTCACCAGTGTCTGTTAGGGAAGGAAACTGCCATCCTTACCTGGTCTGGCCTACATGTGACTCCAAACCCACAGCAATGTGGTTAACTCTCAACTGCCCTCTGAGCAAATAGGGATGGGCAATGAACGCTGACCTAGTCAGTGATGCCCACATCCTGTGAATGAATTTTTAAAAATTATGCAGATTTTAAAAATCCTGAAATTTTGACATTGGCTGTATGCTTTCTTCTTTACCTTTTTAGTACTCTCACGTTCCTTCCTTAAGCCCACGAAATCAAGAAGTGTATTATTGCTCTCTATGGCTGAACAATTCCCCAGAGTCACTGCTGCAAGTCAAGGAGCTCAATTCACAGCCAAACCAAGCCAAGAGCCCCAGTTTGAAGCTATGTGCAGTGGGAGGCATTGACGTACTGGTTACATCACTAAAGTAGCAATCCAGGAGCTCGGACATGGGTTTAAATCTCACCATGATGAACGGTGCAATTTACATTCAATAAGAAAGCTAGTTTAATGTAATCACTGTTAATTGTTGTAAAATCCTATCTGGGTCACTAATGTCCTTCAAGAGAGAAAATCTGCCATCTGCAGCTGGCCTGGCCTCCGTGTGACTCCAGACCCACAGCAATGCGGGTGACTCCTACCTGCCCCCTGGGCGATTAGGGATGGGTTATAAACGCTGGCCTAGCTAGCAATGTCCACATCCAATGGATAACAATGGGTGGCACGGTGGCTCAGTGGTTAGCACTGCTGCCTCACAGCACCAGGGACCCGGGTTCGATTCCAGCTTCAGGTGACTGTGCGGA